TGCTCCTTCTCGATTTCTCTCATTGCGCGTTCGATATATCCCAACTCTAGGCTGCGTTTCATGACGTTACAGTAGGTTTCATTTAACTGCGCGTTCCTCTTCAATCGACCCTTCAGGTAAATGAGCCTGTGGAGGGCTGTTTCTTGATTGTCTGGTAGTCGGTTGGATCCCGTTCACCAGGGTTACGGCACATCAAACTGGGTTCCGTTGTGTCGTGTCGTTTCGGTGACGACAGTTATAGCTGCTCGGTCTTCCCTCGACATAGATACCCGGTCGTCTGCTATGTCGCCGAACTCGTGGTTGTAAAACCGCTCCAGGTCGTCTCCTACAGGATTATCTGGCCGCGAGATGAGGTTGATCGAGGCTGAATAATTACCCTCATTACTGAGCGGCCGGCAGAGTATCCAACCAAACATCATGCGCACAGCATACGGATCTCTACGGCCTCCTATCCTTTGGTCCAGAACCCCATTGCGCTTCGGGTACATCACAACCGATCAATATGTCCACTCGAGTGTCCGGAACATCCTCGAACGGCAGATCGTGGAGGTGAGGCCAGCGCCGCGCTAACGACCGGACACTTTCGGAAGCTCTCATTGGTAGTTCGGCGATAGTAAATGCCTAGTGCACCTCCATCGTATCTTCCCCCGATGTGGGAGCTAAAATCAAACTCAGCTGAGAAGCTCGAAATGCTCGTGCTCCATACACCGTGATGATTACCAATGAGGTGGTCTGTCCATCCAGGTCGTGTTCTCGTGCAAAGCTCTCTCTCACGAGGGTTTTACTCGAACCATTGTCTAGAAACGCCACGGCTTGAACCACGGTACGCGTAGTTTTTACATGAATTGTTATTATTCCCAAGCGGACCGGCCCACTTGACACCCGTCCGATAGTGCAGACAGATTTTGATGTATCCCCCGCAGAGTGTCCGTCGGTTCTGTCGACCCGGTCATTATTTGTTCGTTGCTCGACTCCTCCATCGTGGTGTAATAAGGAGTGATGCTGAACCCTGTAGCTGTCTTGACCACAGTTGGTTCGGTTTCTACAAAGGGCTGCTCTGTGGGTATCGTTCAAGCACACAAAGCAGGACCCTGTCCTTTTAGCTACTGTCCAGCGGTCCACCACCTTCATTGCCAAATCTCTGGGCAGGTAACAAGCTTGTGGACACTTGTACACAGGTTAAGCTTAATCGGTCTTTGTGTGTCACATGAGATTAAGTTGGTGCTCGCCCAGTTACGTGGGGAATGGGAACTTCGAGATCCAGACTGCGCAAATTTAGTTGAAGGCCTAGCGGTCCTGATGCTTTCCCTCGCCAGTTGACCGAATCGACTATTTACTATGCGAGATTGGCAACCTATGAATTGGGCAAGTTCCTCAAAGGTTGCAACTCTGTGCCTTTTCTCGATTCGATCGGCCTCGGTCACTCAGGCTGTCTCCATTTCGGCCGGCAAACATCTGACGATCATTTCCAGCGTGTGAAGTGCATCCAGTTCCGACCTATATTCGAGGTGGTTTAGAGCGATGCTGCACTTCTGCATCTTGAGGACCAAGTTTGATAGAGACCTAGTATCAACTCGTGTGCGCCTCGCCTCCGCTAGCACCCCGCCTATCATGTTTCGTGCCACTCGGAATGGTTGCTCGAACATCTCTAGTATATTCCTGGCTATCGGGTAGCCCACTTTCGGGTCCAGCGTTGCACACCCTTGTATGGCCTCCTTAGCCTTCCCCCGACCGTAGTGTAGCAAAAACAGAAACTTTTGCCCTGCATCGTCGGTTTTGCATTCAACGAAATTTTCGTACTGGCGAATGAACTGGCAATAATGTTCGGGATTGCCATCAAAAGGTGTCAGTTAGACTCTTGGCAAATCGACGTTTACATGGGTATACGTTCTTTGCTGCGGGACGGGTTGTTTATCCGGAGAGAAGCACTTGTGTGCAGTCGCAGCTCGAGGTGATGTTGTGCCGTTGTATTCGGTTCTTTCACATTTGGCCTGTTTTATCTGCTGCATAGCTAATCTCAACTCATGCTCTAATTCAAAAACCCGCAATCTAAATATATCAATATCCTTAATATCTGAATTTACACGTGAAACAGCACTGACAGGACTAACAGACCTAAACGTTTCTGAAGAATAAAAATGACCTACAGCCCCCCCCTAGTGACTTGCCGGGTTACTTCCTGTTGGGTTCCAGGTTCGTTAGTTCCTCGTCCGGACATATTCGAAATAGTTTTCTCGTTTAATTCCGATTTGAGTACTGTACGTCAACCAATTCGCACTTGAGTGACGCGTAGCCGGAACCAATACGAATCCCGAAATAAAACACGATTGATCCGTGATGTTCTACGACACTGAATTAGTAAAATTATTACAAAATTTACAATAAAGCGAACCTCAAATATTCGGCCAAAATCACTCAAGCAAGCGAGCCAAATATGATGTCCAGATAGAGCCAACTAGTCGCTCACGTTCTCTGACCAGGCAAAATTCAAATATGCTGGACATCAAATTAACAGATAAAGAATAATGTATAGTGTTTGTGATTGAGGAATGTCAATAGAGAAGCAGCACACAGATAGAGTTATGTCGCCATGAATCATCGTGCGTTTGGAAGGAGTTTCAAAAATTCAACATGAAATGCAATTGCACTACCGGGCGAGGGGTGGCTGTAGAACAATCGCACTAGATGTTGCCACCTGAAGTATTAAGGGGCAAGAGCTGTTGCTTGAGCGAACTGTTACTCTTAAGAGTCTCCAACTCATGTTCAGACGTCCGTGGCTTAGCGATCAGCGACAGGTAAACATTGTCGGAAGGGACGACGAGATTGATACGTGATGCTCATCTGAGACATGTCGTATATCCTCAGTAAACTGAGTGATATAGTCCAGGTGACGAGACTCCCTGGGAGAGTGCCTGTCGGAGTTGGAACCGACGACGTTGATGAGGGGCTTATGGTCAATGAAGAAAACGAAAGGATGGCCTTCGCGCATGTGTCGAAAGTGCCGTATCGCGAGGTATATAGCGAGCAGATCGCGACCAAAAGTGCTATATCGGGATTCGGATGTTTGCAAGCGCTTAGAGAAGAAAGCAAGCGATTGCCATGCGTCATTGATCTGCTGCTGCAAGACCGTGCCTACCGCTACGTCGGACGCATCTGCCGTTAGAGACAGAGGGGAGCCAGGAACGTAATGTGAGACAGAGGCCATGTTGGAGATGGCTTGTTTCAGGCTGGTAAACGCCGTACGCTCGCAGTCGGTGAACGTGAACTGTTTAGGACTGCTGCGTAAGAGGTCCGTCAGCGGTTGCATAAGGGTGGCGCACTTTGGGATGAAACGCCAACAGAAGTTAATTAGCCGGTGGAACCGTCGAAGCTGCTTTAGCTTTAGGTTCCTGACACTCCGAAGTGGCTAGCACCTCATCGTGTATGGGTGCGACACCAGATTCAGAGACGCGATGACCTAAGAAGTTAATGCTAGGTTCGCCGAAAGGGAACTTAGTAGCATTAATTGTTAAGTCTTGTTGGCGAAGACGTGTGAAAAGAGCGCGTAGGTGCTGCTCCTCCGGGGTGGCGCTGGCTACTAGGACGTCGTCTAGGTAGGTGAATGTGTTATCTTAACTCTGAAAAACCTGATCTATGAAGTGTTGAATATCCGAGCGGCGTTGCTAAGACCAAAGGGCGCATGCAGGAACTCAAACAGACCGTACGGTGTGGTTACCGCGGTCTTGAGGACATCTGCCGGGTGTACTAGAATTTGGTGGTACGCACGTACTAAGTCGATTTTGCTGAACACCTTACATCCTCCTAAGCTAGCTGTTAGATCTTAGATGTGAGGGATGGGATAGCGATCTGGTGTGGTGATGTTGTTTAAGGCGCGGTAGTCGCCACATGGTCGCCAGTCGCCAGGGGAATTCTTGAGGACCATATGTAATGGTGAAGCTCAAGGGCTGGAGGATGGTCGGATAATTCCCAGGTCCAGCATGTGCTGAAATTCAGCGTGGGCTTGTCCCGGGCTAGGCGTCTGGGGCGGAAGTAGGAAGGAGGACCGCGAGTGACAATGTGGTGGACAATATCCGTCGTCGCCTGAGGGAGAGTGTCCGGCGGTTTGCACAACTTCGGGAACTCGGAGAGAACCGCGCGAAAGCTATCAGGAACGTCAGGAACGTACAGGAGCGGGCTAACGGACGGAACAATCGTAGGTATCCCGCGGGTCTCACATGTAGTGAGACGGTCGATGAACTTATATCCGACCGGATCATCCATGTGGTTGAAGTGTCGGAGGAAATCAATGCCGATGATGGATTGTAGAAGTTCGGCGATGAAAAATGCCCAGGGTAAGCTACGGTGAATACCGAGGTTCAGTGCGAGTGAACACTTCCCGTAGGTTTTAATGGGTGTGCGGTTCGCGGCGACAAGTTTCACTAATGAGACGATGGAGGTCCGCTGCACGAGGTCGCATGAAGCCGACCTGTACGCCTGTGTCGACAAGGAAGCGTATCCCGGTATGTCGGTTGGTAAGGAAGAACAGGCGAGTTGGTTGTGGCGAGCTGGACACGGGCGTCGCCTGGCCCGGTCGGCTTATCGGTTTCCCGACCTAAGGGAGTGGGTTCGCGGTGTAAGGCACCTCTTCGCTGCGTCACCGCATCGACGGTGATATTAGCAAATTCATTTCGACGGCGAGCGAGAGCGTGGGCGCCTGGGGCTACGGCTCTGGTGACTGGAGCGTGTGCGATGGCGTTGTCATGGCCGATAGCGAGAGAGTGTTAACGCCTGTAACTGTGCAACTAACGCCTTAACGCAGACCACTAGTTCGGCGTTGTCAGAGGAGTGCGGCGGTGGCGCCGGCTGTGTGAAGAATTAGACCGACAGATTGTCGCCGTATACCCTGCCGGCAATCTCTGCGAGTTCCGTCAGCGTATGACGTTGTCCAAAATACTGCAGTATGGAAGATAAGCTCTTTGGTAGAGCTTGAAACCAAGGCAAGCGGAGTATATTCTAATTATTGTTCAGACTAGCGCCCTGGCCCTGCATATAACTCAGAAGTTTTGTTGGGGTGTCGAGGCCGTCGTGTCATAGAAGCAGGCCGCCCAGAAGTTGTTTGAGGCGACATTTTACTGGCATAACGAATCTGCTCAGAATCGCATCGCGGAGAGCATCAAATGATCGGTCTAGTGGTGGGTTACACCCAATGTCGGGCAGGCATGGGGCGATAGACCTTGGAAGTTTTAGTGACTCGATGGTTACTGATGTTCGTCAGAACCTGTCACTAATGTTTGCTCACGTTCGTTTTGATTATCCGTCCCAAAAGTAAACAGATCCAATGATTGGGTTTGTTGAAAACTATATATTCGGAATCTTCGGAAAGGTTGGAAGTAGGTTTGGCTAGTCCTAGGCTGTTATTTAACCAACGGCAGCAGAAACTTGAAAGTGGATCTGATCAATGCAACGAAAGCGTGCGATACAGAGCTCATCGTGGGGAATTCTGTTGGTGCACGCTATTCGTTTCATTAGAAGAACGATTAAAGTCAAAGCAAAACTTAATCCTGGAAATGTCCAAGTTGCTATATCTAATTAATAAACTTTCCCTGGAAGATAGCTAACGCCAATTAATGGCGATAAATGCTAACTCTCGACGGTATACTTGTTTGTGTCCGGTGGAGAAGGGTCCCTAAGTAAGAAGGAAAAACCATAGCGGTAGTTTTAGCTACCTGATCGAGAGGCTAAATAGCTACTTGATATCTGAACCTTGATGGTTCTGATAAGTATGCCACGGTTATATGACCATTTCTTGATAATCCTCAATTATGCATGACGGGTTGGAAACTGAACCCGTCCTGTTGTTAATCACCAGTGTAGGGTGAAACGGCTTCTGGTACGTGATTTGATGATCACGGNTGAATCTATCAGGAAACTTGGAGAAGAAAAAGAGGTAAGAAAAGAAAACCCTAGGGAGCTTAAACTGTGCCTCGACCTGGGCCAGCCAAAATTGTAGGTCTTCGGGAATGAATTTCGGTATACAAGCTTGCGGGTCCGAGACGCTCGTTTCGGAGCGATCCACCGGACGTTTTCCGCTCATATTTTCTTCACAATCAACTCCGACTCGAACTGT